TTAGTTATTATTTTAAAATTTGCTATGGGACACATGTCTACATGAGAGAGAGAAAGCAAGTCAACAGGAGTCATGTGGAAGTCCAGCGTCCAGCACCCTAACCACCATGCCACCTGTTGGCCCCTGAGATATTTTTTTCTACTGAGATTTTGATCACTACAGTTATAAAATATTTATCAAGTTCTATTTATTATTCGTTGGGATACACAATATAAGTATGATCTTACCCCTGACTTTGAAGACCTTATGATCTGCTAGAAGAAAGAGATGCTTCTACAGTATGATATACTTTTGTTGATTTCAATTTTTAATATCTTTAGAATCCTTCCCTTCCACTCTGGCATCTTTCTTTTGTCATTTGTTACTATGTTTTTTTAAAAAATTGTAGCCACTAGCATATCTACTGACATGTTCGTGTCACCCCTTTGCCTAAAATCCTTCACTTTCTAGCATCAGACAAAGTATAATCCTAGGCCTGTCATCTTCCTTGGTGAGATCCACATTCTGCTTCTCTTTCCAGCGTTTTCACCTGCTGTCTCTGGAAGCACTTCTAGCCACATGGATATATTATGCTTCCCCTGGAGTTCTGTGCTCTCTCAGTTTCTGCCTTTTACAGAGCTCCTTTTCCTCATTGGACTCTATTCCTCCTCCTTCCCTGCCTAAAAAACTCCTATGCATCTTCAAGCCTGACTCAAGCATGTCCTCTAAAAAGCCTGCACTTAACTACCCCCAAATAAGTCCCCTCTTCCTCTATGGAGACAGTTCCCTGGATGTCTGTTTTTCTAACCAGTCAATTCTATTATGTGTAAAAGGTTATTCTTTTAACTCTGTGCTTCCTTACATAGCAGAATATGTGCCTCATAAAAGACATTCCCTGAGTGCTGGTTGAGTGAAGGATTGAATCTATGCATATATGAATAACTTAATACCTGCAGATTTGAGCAAAACGTGATTTGTTATTACTGTGTGCCTCCTGTACTAAAATGATTGCTGGTTAATTCTGAATTTCTCATCTCCATTTATCATGAGAAACTGAATCTGACTTTCTATGTGATTAAGAACATGGGATTTAGGGTGGGCCCTCTAGCTCAGCAGTTAAGTGCAGAGCATAGAGAGATGGCTCTCACAGGGCCAACTGCAGTTCTAATCCTGGCCCCAATGTCTTGAAAAACACACCAGGTATGTGTTTGTGCATGCCTTAAATCCTGACAGAATAGAGAATTGGAGGAAAAAGGATTGTAGCATCCCATTGGAGATTCTCTCTCTTTCTCCCCCCCTCTATTCTCTACACCCTAGCATGTATACATGTATTCTGGAAATAAAAAAAGGATTATTCCCGAAAGTTCACAACTCATTAGAGTTGTACAGAGTTGATAGTCTGAAGCTGTTTATTTCATAGGGAGAGTCCGTGGCATGAAGACAGAGCAACTTTGAAGTAATACTCCTCTCAACATATGTAGAAATCCAAAAGAAGGTTTTCTTACACTTGAGTGCCCTCAGTACAGCTTTGAATAGTTTTGAGGGATCAGTAAGTGCATACTTTAAAATTCTTTTGAATAAACATTCTTTTGAAATTGACTTCTCCTATTAGGGAAAGTATTATAGGATTACTACAAAAGTATATTCTTACAGGATTCATGCCACAAGTAAATAAATAGATGTATAGATAGATAGGCAGACTTATGGTATTTTTGTTGTTGTTAATGCACAAAAGAAATATTTATAGATATGAAATCTGCCTTTCTTTAGGGCTTAATTTCTTTCCTAAAAAAAAAAAAAGAGAGAGAGAGAGAAGATATGTGTTTTTTTGGAGTGGAAAAAAGACAAACTGAATTTTAGAGGGTAATAAGTCTGGGGTTATTCCTAGTGGTAAAATTTTATTTAATTTTATTTATGTATTTATTTTGGTGGGAGCAGAGGTTGGAGACTGAATGCTGAATGTGTGGCGTGCTGACAGGAACACTTTCTCCAGCTGCAGTGGTGAGGGGTGACACGCTGTTTTGCAGTGCTAAACTTACACGCGAAGGTGTTAGGTTCACTTCCTGAAGTCTTTCTGTACACTGTGCACATATGCATGCCTATGATCCTAGCTGGCTAGGGCTGAGGTAGATTGCAGTATGAAGTCCCTGGTTGGGGTGCTTGTGTGTGTGTGTGTGTGTGTGTGTGTGTGCGTGCATGTGCACACATGTGTCTGTCTATCTTTCTCATGGAAGACATAAATTCATGAGCTTTTAAAATGATGTTAAATTTTGCTGTGTTCGTTAATATCTTGGTTCTGTTAGATCAAATTTAGGAAATTAGTATAACGTGTATATACAAAACACACAACTTTCTATTCTGACTTAATGATTTTCGAAGGAACAAACAAGAATGATTTTATAGGTAATACTAAAGTTAATGGAAGAGTTGGTGGAACTCTTCTTTCCCACTCCCGTTGTTTCCTTCCATGTGGCAGGAACTTTATTAGTGCAGTACTCCTGGCTGCATTCTCACTGCCCAAGCAGGAGCTTCCTGGGAGGAAGTGCTGATCATGCATAGCCCAGCCCATTCTGTGGGGGAGCTAACTGCCTATGGGAACCTGGTTCCTCCATCCTGTGAGTTGTAACGCAGCGTTCAACATATGGGAGGCCTTGTGATTTTCTAGTACAGCCTGTGACTGGGTGGGTGAGTCTGTTTAATTCTGTGTTAGTAAATCTGTTGTTTCTGCACACCTAAGCCATACTCTTCAGTGTCAAGTTTATCAGTAAGAAAAGTAGTATTTCGACAGCTTGTCTGCCTTTCTCCTTGAACTCATCACCTAATTAGTGCAGAATTCCGGTGGGGATGGGTCATGCCAGTGCCCTTGCATATATGTGTAAATTCTCATGACAGCACTGAAAGAGAGTTAAATCATCTCCAATTTACAGAGGAGGAGTGTGAGGCTGTATGAAGATAAGCCACTTAGAATGTTCCTTTCTAGTCCATTAGAACATCCTGCCAATGCAAACATTAAGACAAAATCTTGTGAAGTACTTTGTCAAATAAAAATCACCAAATAATACAGATGAGTTTTATTTCTTTGTAACCTAGTTTCTTCATAACTATAATACTCATGTTTTAACAGGGCCTGAAGTCCCTGAATACATAGGTATTTGCCCACTTCTCCCTATTACACTGGCTGCCTTAACTTCATCCTGAGCCTTTAGCTGTTTCTAACCACTTTAGGCTTCCTATATTAGTTCTTGTGACTATCAACTTTCCTTCCCCCTTCCTTTGTCTGGTTAGTGCCTACTTACCCTTGAGGTGTCAGCTCACATGTTCTCAAATTGGCTTCCCACAGTCACTATATCTGTGATTGGTTCACAGTTTGGTTTCTGCCAGCCATCACGTCTTTCCCTTCTCCCTCTTGACCATCATTCCTGATTATATATTCATTTCAAACCTCTACTCCTCAGTCAGCTGAAGCCCCATAACCATGGTAACTACTTTTTTTTTTGTTTACCCTTGTGAGTCAAGTATCTTGACCCAGTAATAGCATGTAGTTGGTGCCCGAAGAATGGTTGTTGGATGACTAATGGCCATAGTGCTCAGCATCATGCATCAGCCTTGAGGCCTTTGTTTGATGTTTTCTAGTAATACTTACACATATGATGTTAAAGATAGCCTCTTTCTTGATCATTGCAATGAAAAAATGGCAGAACTGAAATCTCTGACTCCTTTTTGAGCTTGTTTTAGTTATGCTATATGTGTGATCAATGTATATTTTTGTGGTCTGAAAAAAATTTTAGGGCATGCGTACAATATATAATAATCAAATCAAGGATATACCTATATTCATCTTCTTTCCCCAATCAGAATGGTTATGTTAAAAACAACAATAACTTTTGAGGCTTTAAACCATCAGGAACATAGAATGGATTTCCAAGTGCGCCTAACTGAATGGCTTACTTCGTATATGGGGATCATAAAATACAAACTGCCCCAGCAGTGGAACCTGCTTTATTTAGTCCTGGAATGTGGCATGTAAAGAGGAAAGTCTCTCTTTTTACCTTCAAAATCAATCAGGAACGTAGAATGGATTTCCAAGTGCGCATTAACTGAATGGCTTACTTCGGATATGGGGATCATAAAATACAAACTGCCCCAACAGTAGAACCTGCTTTATTTAGTCCTGGAATGTGGCATGTAAAGAGGAAAGTCTCTCTTTTTACCTTCAAAATCACTGAAAATTATTAAGCAGCTACTTCTGCTTGTTTTTATATCTCCAAGAAGAACATCACAAAGTTTGTACCAGTCTCCCAGGCCTATTCAATAAGGAATATGCTAGTACCTAACTTACATGTTAATGTTAGACTTTTTAAAAAGTTTTTATTGTTGATTTTTCCGTGAAAGCGAAAGACAGAGACAGAGAGGTCCTCCACAAGATCTTCATACCGCAGTCCACTCTCAGCCTCTGTCAACCAGGATCAGAAGGTGTACACTGTACACCCCCTTCATGTACAAGACTTCACACACCTAGGACATTGCGAAACGTTGCATTGCCACTGTGCCACTGCAGATGGCCAATGTTAATATTGTTCTTGATAAATTATTTTCCATTCATATATAAAATGAAATTGCCTATAAGGTAGTGAATAAACTATTTTTGTTTCCCAGCCAAACATAAAAAAATTAGGTGTTAAAAAAGACAAAATATTTATAGTTTGAAAGAAAAGTACAGATTTTTTTCATTTTTTTTCTCTCCCCTTGTTGCACTAATTTGAGATAATTAGTATCTTACAGGGGCAAAACAAAACAGTTCTGCATGCTTAATTTTGCATTCCCTTATCTTTAAAGTGTTGGTTATGGCAGGATTTCATTTCGTGGCCAACTCTTGTGGAACAAATGCCCATGGGTAATAAACAACTGAACCAGGATCTTCATAAAAAAGACATTGTTAATAGGATGCCATCAGGTATATGACTGTTTTGATATGGCTGTTGATGTACCTTTTTTCTGTCCTCCCTACCCTCATTGTACAGGGCATTGATGTACGAGATGCTCCTCTGAAGGAAATAAAGGTGACTAGCTCCCGACGATTCATAGCTTCATTTAATGTTGTGAATACAACAAAACGAGATGCTGGAAAGTACCGCTGCATGATTCGCACCGAAGGAGGTGTTGGGATATCAAACTATGCAGAATTGGTAGTTAAAGGTATTTAATATGTTTTTATGCCCTAAAATTGTCTTATCAAAGTAGACATGTTAATTAGTTCATTATTTGTTTAAAGCTTGAACTTATCCTTGTCTGTTTCTGAACAGTAGTTTGATGACAGGCTATATATACTGATGGATGGCCTTCTAAGTATAAATTTTGCACATGAGAAATATTTTTGAAAAATATATTTTATTTATATTGGTTTAGTTGCATACAAAGCCATGAATGTGCTCTTGGCAAGGTCTTCTGCCAACTCAGTGTACCAAGATTACAACCTATAAATTTTTTTAAGGAATAAAATTTTTTACTGATAGAAAATCACTTAAAATGCAAATAGTCACCAGCCAGGGTGTTTATGATAGCAGGGTGGTTAATAAAATGAAGCAGTGTCAGTATAAAAATGCTCAGTCATATCACATAAGCCATATTGATAATTTTGTGTTAACATTCATAATGTTCCAGTTAGGTGCTGTTACTATATTTTGCGTGACTGAAAAATTGACATTATTTTCAAGAAAGTGAGGGATGAGGATAGAAAAAGAGAGGGGAAATAAGTTTCCTTTAGCTGGTTTAATGCTTTTTTGTGGACTGAGAAGTTTAGAGTATTAAGATGCTAAGGTAATTTCTGGACCCAGACAGAATAATTTGGCCTTTTAGGTGTACCTCAAGGCATTTGAGACAACCTGTGCCAGGCTGTGACCAAGGAGAACAGAATGATAACTGAGTTTTTAATTCATTTTTTACTTTTGATAAATGTGGAACACAAAACTGATCTCTTTTGAATGGGCTGTTCCTTTTATCAGTGTAAAATATGCATGTGGCGGGAACCAGCAGTTAGCGTAATGGCTATGGCGCTGGACTCCCACGTGGTCGACCGCGGTTCGCGTCCCGAACCCGGTGGCTTAAAACTCACGCCGGGCGCGTGTGCGTGTGTGCCCATGATCCCGGGAGGAGAATGGAGGAGAAGGGATTGTGGCGTGACCATCCCCCCTGGGGGGTGATTTCTCGCTTTCTGTCTCTATGTCTCTCTCTGTCTGTCTGGCGAGCGCACGCGCCCTATAGGGAAAAAATCTCTCTCAAAAAAAAAAATGCATGTGGCACTGAAACTACGTAGTGAGCAGCTCACACCTCTTGGGATCATGAGGGGGAGGGTGATCTCACTTTCAGATCCCATTTATCTTTGATCTTCATGTGGGAATGCATGTCAGAAAATCTTCCCAGAGCCAGTCCCATGGACCTAGTTAAGGGAGTCAGCTCCCACATGACTGACCACAATTCAATTCCTAGCCCCAATGGCTTGAAAAGCATACCAAACACACAAATCCTGAAGGATGGAAAAATGGAAGAAAAGGGATTGTAATGTGACCATGTCCCATCAGGAGGTCCTCTCTCTCTCTTTCTCTTTCTCTCAAATATATGCACCTTCTGACAATTCAGAATTGTCCACGAGACAATTCCAAATTAAATATGAATGTCTGCCCACCTGTAAGGGTACTTCACAAGGTTTGTGGAAAAATGGAATTAAAGTATGCATTTATTTTGCTACAAAATATTTTGGAAATTTGTGCAGTATTTTATGATGTGCATTTTCCATGGACTGTTGGAAGATCACTCGTATTCTCTATTCCCTTCTCCTGCCACACCCCATTGAATCAGAATCTCTAGAGACATAACTTCCATTATGAAACCTGCAGGTGATTTGGGTATATGCTTCTGTCATGCGAATGCTGCTAATATCAGTCACATACAGCTTGTGAAAGAAAATGCTTATCAGTGAGCCTACTTTGAGAATTATTCATCTGCAGCAATGTATTTTGCATTGTATTCTTAGGTGTTTTGGTTTGAGGTGGAACTGAGGTAACTTGTCTGGCTAATATTTGAGCTCAGGTTTAATATCTGTAATGAACCTAAAACTTCATAGTTATACAAACCCTACCCTGGTGAAGGCTGTTTGGGAAGTGAGGAGTCATATGTAGAAAATGAACCCCAGTTTGCCAAGGAAACCAGTAGAGTAGCCCACATATTCCCACAAATGAGTTCATTGTCATCATCAATACTGCTCCTCTTATTTGATTTGCTCCGGGTTCACTTCTTTCTGATAATGTGGCTACTGTGCTGCTGTCCTGTGTCCAGCCAGTGCCCATTATCAAAGCTTCCTGCTTCTCGATCAGTTTGATGCAAACCTAGTAGCTTCTCTAAAACTTGCCTCTGTGGAGAAGTTAATTTGTTGGGAGTTATAAGTAAATCAGACATTTCTAGTCTGCCAGAACAAACATAAACAGAAAGAATGAGTGGGTTCTCCCTCACATCTGTGCATAGCATTTTCCTGTTTTACGACCGCGTAGTAGTCTCTTGGCTCATTGTGATAAAAATGTGCAGGCATCTCTTTCCTTCACTCCACGCTGCCAAAGCTGGCTGTGATTTGTGTGCAGATAGGGCTCAAATCTGAAATCTGGCTTTTCCTCCACTTACAATGTTGTATCATCTTTTCTATATAATTCTTAAGAATAAGATAACATGCTGGATTCTACTATGTTAATAGTTATCACCTTGAGACAGTTACTTCAGGATATATGATAATATTTTTTGGCCACATATTGATAATTTAACACTTTTTATATGTCACATAATAGCCATAGAGCTGTTTTACAAATGGGGAAAACTCCATAGTGTTAAATTTCTTTTTTTTTTAGAGAGATTTTTGCTTTCGGGAGCATGCACTCACCAGCAAGACAGAGAGACATAAAGCAAGAAATGACCCTCCATGGGCATGGTCATGCCACAGTCACTGCTCCTCCCATCTCCTCTCCAGATTTCAGACACACATACATGGAGCTGGCATCAGTTTGAAGCCACCATGAGTTTGAAGCCACTGGGTCCAGGACTTGAACCTTAGTCAACCATGTGGGAGCCAGTGACGTAACCATTACACCACCTGCTGGTCCCCATAGTGTTAGCTTTCTTTAGGTCATGCACTGATTTGGTGCCAGTTTCTTGAATAAAGCCTGGGTCATTTAATTGCTTAACTATAATTTTTAACTTTATTCACGTCTATCACTGCTTTTACTAACCAAGAGCATGAAAATATTTCTTAAAATATCCACAATATTGGGAACCAGCAGTTAGCGTAATGGCTATGCCGCTGGACTCCCACGTAGTCGACCACGGTTCGTGTCCCAGACCCGGTGGGTTAAAACTCACGCCGGGCGCGTGTGCGTGCGTGCCCAAGATCCCGAGAGGAGAATGGAGGAGAAGGGATTGCGGCGTGACCATCCCCCCTGGGGGGTGATTTCTCGCTTTCTGTCTCTATGTCTCTCTCTGTCTGTCTGGCGAGCGCATGCGCCCTACAGTGAAAATCTCTCAAAAAAAAATATCCACAATATGTGTATTATATATGTATATCAATGCCATATTTAACTACATGGAGTATGTATTTATGTAATGAAATATGATATTGGTGGGACCAGCATACAGTGTAATGGTTAGGTCATTGGAATCCCATGTGGCCGACCACGGTTTGAGTCACTAACCTGGCAGCTTGAAACTGACACTAGGCACGTGTGTGTGTGTGCACCCAAAACCCCAGGGGGAGAATGGAAGAGAAGAGATTGCAGCATGGCCAACCCCCTTTGGGAGTGATTTCTTGCTTTATTTCTCTGTCTCTCTGTCTTTCTCCATCGAGCACATGTGCCCTATAGCAAAAACTCTCTAAAAAAAGTATGATATTGACATATATATATAACAGGTATTTCACATATGTATATCACTTAGATATATTTATAGGTATGTATATGTGTATAAGTTTTCTCATCAGTGGTTTGATTTAGAATTAGTTCTGTGGTATCCTTTCACTTAAAATAAGAAATATTTTAAATGGCTTTTTATCACTTTGTATAGATTGAGATTCTTCTCTCCCTCTCTTTCCTCCTCCTTTCTTTTCTTCACTTTGGAAAAATTTGCTCAAAATTTAAATGTTGACTTATTCTTGTGCTGATTCTTCCTTAAACCAAAGTCCTTTCAAATGTCTATCTCAATTGTTTCCACATTCTAGTTGAATCTTTCATTTGATTGATCATATCTGGTACTTTTCTTAATGGGGAATTAATTTAGGAGATATTCTCAGGATAAAAATGCATTAAAGCCTTGTCTATTTTAGACTACTAGCAATATTCAAACTAGGTGAATTTACTCCCTTTGTGACCTTGTTCCCACGTTATATTTGAATGGCAGTTCAATAACCCTTGCTAGCTAGCATTTGCAACTTGCTTTTTCAGCCTGGCTACATAAATGCCTCTGGATGTGCTATAAAAGACCCATCTCATGTCTGGGTGCAAGGAGTTGCCTAATGATATAAATTGATGTTAAATTCTTGTGAGTTAAGTCAGAAATGTTTAAAGAAATGAAGAGCTGGCAGAAGGTTCCAGTTTATAAACAATAGGAACAATATTTTAGTAAATTTCTATTATGTCTGTACTCTTTCAAATAAAATTCATTACAATTTGGTGTCGTATTTTGACAGAGTATAATGAAAATTTCCTAGTTGTTTTAGAAAATCAATATGACTTACCATACTTTGAGTAGTAAAAAAGAACAAAGACTCCTCAACCCAACAAAGGGAACTGATGTTGCTCATTTATTAGTTGGTCTAGGAATCAGCCTGGTCTCATTTCAGGTGTAAACTTCAGATGGTGCTTTTGTAGCTTTCTTGAGGACCTCCTATCTGTAGGAACATGACTGTGATCGATTAGCCATGTCTACTGAGGACAGGAGAAATTACAGCAAGCAAGCTATTGTATGTCAGTGGTAGGACATAGCAGTCTTTATTTTCCATGTGTTTGTACAAGCAAGATAAGTTGTTAAAAACAAAATATACCAAAAGGCACGGACCACCTGTAGAAACATTCTTGGGAAAAATCATTAGATCTTATGTTTTTCTGAGATGGCAATTCATTGAGGTAGAAACATGTTATTTTCAATAATGATCTCATTTATCATATATGGTGCCACTTGCATTCAGATTGGCATATGAAAGACCTTCATTTAGTGCCCAAAGAGCTATTCAACTAAGATTTAACTAATATACTGGGAATATATGAGCGCATGCGCCCTACAGTGAAAATCTCTCAAAAAAAAATATCCACAATATGTGTATTATATATGTATATCAATGCCATATTTAACTACATGGAGTATGTATTTATGTAATGAAATATGATATTGGTGGGACCAGCATACAGTGTAATGGTTAGGTCATTGGAATCCCATGTGGCCGACCACGGTTTGAGTCACTAACCTGGCAGCTTGAAACTGACACTAGGCACGTGTGTGTGTGTGCACCCAAAACCCCAGGGGGAGAATGGAAGAGAAGAGATTGCAGCATGGCCAACCCCCTTTGGGAGTGATTTCTTGCTTTATTTCTCTGTCTCTCTGTCTTTCTCCATCGAGCACATGTGCCCTATAGCAAAAACTCTCTAAAAAAAGTATGATATTGACATATATATATAACAGGTATTTCACATATGTATATCACTTAGATATATTTATAGGTATGTATATGTGTATAAGTTTTCTCATCAGTGGTTTGATTTAGAATTAGTTCTGTGGTATCCTTTCACTTAAAATAAGAAATATTTTAAATGGCTTTTTATCACTTTGTATAGATTGAGATTCTTCTCTCCCTCTCTTTCCTCCTCCTTTCTTTTCTTCACTTTGGAAAAATTTGCTCAAAATTTAAATGTTGACTTATTCTTGTGCTGATTCTTCCTTAAACCAAAGTCCTTTCAAATGTCTATCTCAATTGTTTCCACATTCTAGTTGAATCTTTCATTTGATTGATCATATCTGGTACTTTTCTTAATGGGGAATTAATTTAGGAGATATTCTCAGGATAAAAATGCATTAAAGCCTTGTCTATTTTAGACTACTAGCAATATTCAAACTAGGTGAATTTACTCCCTTTGTGACCTTGTTCCCACGTTATATTTGAATGGCAGTTCAATAACCCTTGCTAGCTAGCATTTGCAACTTGCTTTTTCAGCCTGGCTACATAAATGCCTCTGGATGTGCTATAAAAGACCCATCTCATGTCTGGGTGCAAGGAGTTGCCTAATGATATAAATTGATGTTAAATTCTTGTGAGTTAAGTCAGAAATGTTTAAAGAAATGAAGAGCTGGCAGAAGGTTCCAGTTTATAAACAATAGGAACAATATTTTAGTAAATTTCTATTATGTCTGTACTCTTTCAAATAAAATTCATTACAATTTGGTGTCGTATTTTGACAGAGTATAATGAAAATTTCCTAGTTGTTTTAGAAAATCAATATGACTTACCATACTTTGAGTAGTAAAAAAGAACAAAGACTCCTCAACCCAACAAAGGGAACTGATGTTGCTCATTTATTAGTTGGTCTAGGAATCAGCCTGGTCTCATTTCAGGTGTAAACTTCAGATGGTGCTTTTGTAGCTTTCTTGAGGACCTCCTATCTGTAGGAACATGACTGTGATCGATTAGCCATGTCTACTGAGGACAGGAGAAATTACAGCAAGCAAGCTATTGTATGTCAGTGGTAGGACATAGCAGTCTTTATTTTCCATGTGTTTGTACAAGCAAGATAAGTTGTTAAAAACAAAATATACCAAAAGGCACGGACCACCTGTAGAAACATTCTTGGGAAAAATCATTAGATCTTATGTTTTTCTGAGATGGCAATTCATTGAGGTAGAAACATGTTATTTTCAATAATGATCTCATTTATCATATATGGTGCCACTTGCATTCAGATTGGCATATGAAAGACCTTCATTTAGTGCCCAAAGAGCTATTCAACTAAGATTTAACTAATATACTGGGAATATATTTATAAGCCAATGAAATGAAAAAAGAATGTGAGGTTTTAGACACTGAAAGAAACTTTCTTGGATAGAGCAGTGTTTGCTATTGATTTCTTTTGAGTGTTATCATGCTGGGCATAGCTTGTTCTTTACCTCAGAGCTTTCCTTTCCTTTCACTACTTTAATAAGACTCATTACTGGAAGTTCGTTGAACAGTAGCTGCAGTGGTCTTTATTATCCATAATGTTCAATTCTCCTGTAGTTAAGTAAGTCTATTGTGATAGTTTTTTTGGAGAAACAAGTCATTCAAAAAAAGTACTTACGATGAGACAAACTATCATTTCAGGCATATTTTAAAGAGATGATATCTTTGGAATATAAATATAAGGGAACTGAATTTAATGATGAAGAGAATTAGTATCTCGGATGATTTGAAGACACTCTCCATGAAGAGGTTGACAATGGAATGCTTCCTAGAGATTTAATACTACCACTTGAGTTTTTACCAGTTACTTTTAATGAGAAAAACAGTCTTTTGGTTTGCTTAGGTTTTTAAGATGGTTTATTTCGCAACTTTGAATATCGTGAAAACCTTTATCAATATGGTTTTTCTTATTAACCTGAATAAAACATTTTTATCAGTTCACTCGTGAAATGTTAATGTCATATATATCTTAATAATTTATGCCTGTTTTGCTATTTTTTTAAGACCTTGGAAATTCTTTTATAAAGTTTAGTTATGTATTTCTTTCATGGGACATAGACATAGAAAGACAGGTACCCCTAACAGAGTGCTTGCACCTTGATCTACTCGCAGCCTCAGCCAACCTAGATCATGAACACACATACACCTGGCATGGATAGGAATACCATGGGGGTCCAGATCTGGTACTTCTGTGCCATCATTTGGCCTATTGAGCTCTTTTAAAATCTGAAGACGAAAGCCCCTGAGGGACAACTCTCTGGTTTGCCTTTCAGAGCCACCTGTTCCTATAGCCCCACCTCAGCTCGCCTCTGTGGGAGCAACCTACCTGTGGATACAGCTCAACGCCAACTCCATCAATGGGGATGGACCCATCGTCGCCCGGGAGGTGGAGTACTGCACAGCCAGTGGGAGCTGGAATGACCGGCAGCCAGTGGATTCCACAAGTTATAAAATTGGACACCTTGATCCAGATACGGAATATGAGATTAGTGTGCTCCTCACCAGGCCAGGGGAGGGCGGCACTGGGTCTCCTGGACCAGCTCTCAGGACGAGGACAAAGTGTGCCGGTGAGTCTAAGGAAACCTGGCACGACTTGTCACGGTCTTTCTAGACGTTGACTGGCAGTGCTGGGTTTTCTGATGTGGCCACAGGTTTGTCTCAGGTCTGTCAGCATCATGTGTGTGAGCAGCAAATTCCCCTTAGTCTATGAGCACTAGAATGGCACCTTGTGAACTTTGGGACCAGGAACCTTGAGGCTTAGTATCTCTCAGCCCACCTCTCCCCTTTATTCCTATTCTGAATTTGGACCTTATTCTGAGTCTCATGTTCTCTAGGAACTGTCTCTAATGTTCATAGAAACTATTTATTCTAAGGACATCTGCTAATAATAGGCCAGACCCTTTTGCTCTCGTCCCTTTGTTTTATGTTCTCGGTTAATGTGCTTGTAGTCCAGAGGGGCTGTGGAATAATCGATTCCATCTCAGAGATAGCTTTAATGCTATGTTTTCGTTGATAGACATTTAATGGAGGGGCTGCTGGCTGATGACCTGGGGCCCATTTGTAACATAAGCAAGAGTGATTTGTGGCCTGCTTGTAGTATTTAACTTCTTGTATTATAAAGTTCTAATGGCACTAACCACATTCTGTAACTTAAATAAAGCAGGGTCAATGGAGAGAGAGATGTAAAGTCTTTAAATAATCAAAACCTGAAGCAAGCTGCCGTTTGGAGGTTATAGACTTTCTGTATGACTACTGTCTGGTAGGAAACAGAGAGAAATAATATCTTCAGATACTGAAATACTCTTTTATCATGTAAATGAAGAATCCCTATGTTGAATTATGTGTTGAGATTCCATAAATTTTCATAGAGTTAGTTAATTTTTTGGAAAGAATTATTTAAAAAGACATTTCTCAGTATGTTCCTTTTTTTTTTTTACATTTTAAAAGTACTTAGCGTAGTCTGATCTTATCTGCTAGGTGAGAGAAAGTATTGAACATTTACAGTTGTAGCTGTTTTCATTTCTCTTCATAATTTGGATGACCTTATTTCTATAAGTTCATTGTTCATAAAAACGTTCTTTTGAAAAAGAAAAGATTCAAGGCCTCAAATAATGCGGCTTGATCTCACATGGCCAACTGTGCTATTTGAGTCCCAGACCCAGCAACTTAGGAAATAATACTAGACACATGTGCATGCCCCAAATCCCGAAAGGAAGGAGAGATGGAGAAGAAGGGATTGTGCCATGATCATGACCATGACCCACAGAGGGTATTTCCTCACTCTCTCTAGCAAGTGCACTCACCTTTTGGAAAAGTTTTTTAAAATATCTATTCTGTTGTTATAAAAGGAAACAGGTACTTCTTTCTTCTGGAGATACATGGGATTGAGGTTTATGATTGGTGTGTATTTTCAGACATGGAACTTTGCCATTTTGTTCATATTGAACCTGTTTCCCAGTTCCCACACCTGTATCCTCATAGCACCGGGCACTTCAGTCTTTTAAGTAAGATCTGCTGTCCTGGGTTGGGGTTTCCTGCAGCCCTGATTGGTATTTCTAAGGAGAGAGAAGAATAACCTTTTATTTTCTTTAACCCTCACCTTCTATCTTATATTAGTTGAGTAGATTCTTTCCTTTATGGGAAATAATTTTTTATGTGATCTTTTTCGTTCTATTTACTATCAGCTGCACCTACTTAATGTTTCCAGTTCTGTTTTGTCTTTTTTTCTCTTTACATTTTTGTGTCTCTTTTTCATAGTTTTGTGTCTGTGCATTCAGCAGTTGCCATGTTGTGATGTACAGTTGACTTGTGAACAGTGTGGGTTTAGGGGAGCCAAACCCTTTTGCCATCAAAAACATACATGAAACTTTTTAAAATTGCTCATTCCTTTTATGAGAGAGAAAGACACATACACACACACACAAACACACACATGCATGTATGCAGCATCAACAGGGTTTCTTGCCATGGTCCCTCCCACCCCCACAACCTGCCCAGCCAGCCAGGACCATGAGCACATGCACCCGGCATTTACTGGTTTCAGATTCACTAAGGAACTGAGCCCACAGTCCTCCCAATGGATCCCACTTTGCCTGAGCTGTTTGTTACTGCTGCACAATCAAGCCAGCCTCCATAAAAGTGTTTGACTCCCTCTAAAATTTAATTACTAATAGCCTATTATTGATTGGATACCTAACCGATAATGGAAACTGTCAAATAACACATACTTTGTATGTTATATGCATTTTATACTATATTTCTATAATAAAGTAAACTAGAAAAAATTATAAGGAAGTGAAAATACATTTACAGTATTGTACTATACTTTATACTGTATTTATTAAGACAAAATGTGACATATAAGGGGACCCATACAGTTCCAACAGGTGTTCTGGGTTTAACCATGTATTTTCGGAGTTATATTGCATGTATGTGTGTCTGTTTCCAGGAAGCCTCTTGATGCTGCTGCACAGACAGGGTAGCTTTTATTATAGACAGGCAGTCCTTTTTTAAGAAATAAAAACAAATTTTTACGTTATTTTTTATATGTCAACACTGTACCGAACAGTATAAATCTCACCTAAGCAAGGAAGCCTCGTGATGAAATGAGGCCTGCAGGTGACATGGTGTGTGTTCCTGGTTTGTACATACTGACATTGGATATTTTTTAAAAAGGCGTGGTTCAGCAAGTCAACTTTAGAAAACAGGGAGGCATGTTAGGTGAGAGAGTCAAAGTTAGAAATAAGAGGGACAGCCTGTTAGGTGGATAAGGAAAGTGAAGTCAAGAGAGACTTTTTACTATAGGAAGAAAGAGAGTTCGCCATTTTTCCAGTTCACTGTTTCTTGACCTGAGGCTTTTGAGAAAATCTGCAGGTAAGATCAGTAATCACTGTTGATGATCTGTATAAAATTGTGGGAAGCAAGATAGAGTGAAGAAGACAGGTGGTGTAACCTTATAAACTGGAGACTTTGATATTGGCCCCTAACCATTATTCAGATGGTTTATGAGCACAGGGTTTATAAAGAACAAGGTATGGAACTCATAAACCTGGGGGTGAGTATAAGCATACTGTAGCAGCATATGGAAAGAGTCCTTAGCCAGGCTTGAACAGTGGATGACTCTAACAGGGTGATAAGTAGCAGAAATAAACGTAGATTCATAGTATAGTTTAAAAGCCATTGGAGTGATTAAATTTAGCAACAGCATTTATAAAGAAGAGATTGAGGATTTCATTTAAATGCATGTGAATCTTTTTTTTTTTTTTTTTTTTGGAGAGATTTTCGCTATAGGGCGCGTGCGCTCGCCAGACAGACAGAGAGAGACATAGAGACAGAAAGCGAGAAATCACCCCCCAGGGGGGATGGTCACGCCGCAATCCCTTCTCCTCCATTCTCCTCTTGGGATCTTGGGCACGCACGCACACGTGCCCAGCGTGAGTTTTAAGCCACCGGGTCCGGGACACGAACCGTGGTCGACTACGTGGGAGTCCAGCGACATAGCCATTACGCTAACTGCTGGTTCCCAATGCATGTGAATCTTCAAGATAATCGATACTGTATTCATTGTTCCTGTTATACTAATGCGTTATCTCCCCCAGCCCCAACCAATTTTTATATAATCTCAGGCTTCCTCAGGAAAGTAGAATGCTCATGTTGAAGGAGGTGATAACCTTGTTCTATCAGTGCTAGTTAGCCTGACCATAATTGTCATGTTTATTTCTGGTCTCTGCATTTTAAGAGAGCACAAAATATAATAGATTGTGCCCAGAGGAGAACAACCAGGATAGGAATGGTTGTGGAACTTTGCTTGACTAGTGAGGCATGGTTCAGAACTGAGAAGGAATGGGGAAGGATTGGGGACCTGTGCAGATTTGACAAGAGCTGAATAACAGGTAGTGAATTTCTTGTGCTTATTATTTTTTTATGTTCTGTTTTGTTTTCTTAGCGAGCAATGATATCAATTTTAGTTTCAGCACTTACAGTTTAAGCAGAACCAAAATTGTGCAAGGTGCTATGTTCCAGAAGAGGGTAGAGCTGGTTGGCCTTGAACATCTTTTCAATATGAGGATTCTATGATTCATTTGTTCTCTTTCTCAGGAAGTAACCAATTATATATTTCTACCATGAAAGTCCTTCACTTTGGGCTAGTCTTATTGCCTAGTGTTTAAGGGAGTCAGATCCCACATGGCAAAATATGGATTGATTCCCTACTCCAGCAGCTTAAAAGTGGTGCTAGGCACAGCCTCACGGGGGAATGGTTTTGCTCTTTCCATCTCTGTCTGTCTCTAGTGAGCACGCACATCCTCTGGCAATTAAAAATATTTTTTTTAAAAAAAAGGAACAGGGGAAATAAAAAGGTTTTCAATTTCACTTTGAGATTATCCTTTCTCAAATACTCTAATCATGCTTATTGAGTATCTCTACAATACAGACCTGGTAGAGGTCTGTATAACCTTCCCGAAGCGAGGAAAAATAGTTTCTATTGCAGCTAAAACAGATTATGTTTGAACAACGGACTCTTTTTTAAATTAATTTATTTTTATTTATTTTACATACTTTCACTGGACGTCACCACAGCATACAGAACGTGATTTTTCCAACCATAGCGTTGGTGGTTCAGTGGTAGAATTCGCACCTGCCAACCATAATATACTGTAGAGTGGCTTAAACATATATGTTATTGTCAACAAATTATTTTCCATTTCTTATATATATATATATATATATATATATATGTATATGTATGTATGTATAGTAATATATATTATATATGTATGTATGTGTGTGTGTGTGTGTGTGTATATATATATATATATATACACACACTCATATATATATATATATTCTCCCTATTTCTCATCTGCCATTTCTAATCCTCTTTCCACCCTGTCTCTGGTTTCTGCAGTTGCTGAAGAACTGCCTCTTGTTCTAAGACTCCCTGCTTGGTTTTTATGCTAAAATATCACTTCCTTTACGAAGTGATAGTGTTGGTGGGTGCTAGAGCCAGCTGTTAAGAACACAGACTCTGGGACTAGCTGCCTAGGTTTGAGAGCTGGCTTTGCCTGGA